TATCTCCTCGTGGGGGGTGTAAGAAGGTGTTCTTTTATGAGCGGTACGAACACAAAAGAACAAGAAAAAAAATCAACGTCTATTTATGTGCGCAACAGGTCGCCTTCATGAGAATTTTTTTTTTTTTATTTACCCCCCTAGTTTAGCACATTATTCGTTTTTTCCTAAATCCGTGACGGTTACGCGCACAAGGCGTATAGGATAAGCTACGAGACATGATCAACTATGTTCGTTACATTAACGACATCGTGAAACAATCCCGATGAGAACACGTCCGTAACGCGTCACACATTAATATGGACAGTAGAAGGCGCTACATTTTATGTATACACGTAAAACCATTATATGAATTATTACTTGTTTGAACAGAATTTTTATTTTTTCGTGTTTCTCATTTGTTCCCGGTATTTTCTCTTTATTCATTTTGTTGACACAGGAAGGTTTTGTTACTGTGTCACCAATTGGGTTATCAAGAAGGAAGAAAAGGAACCCCTAAAAAACAAAAACATGGGTGTCCACATTTTTTACGTTTCTATTCTTGATATTTCACGTGTGCCGGTTATGTTGGGAGCTACATATGCATAGAGAGTTGCACTACGGGGTATTTTACTACACAGCTATAGCACATACATCAGAGTTCGCTCACGCAGTTGCCTTGTTTTCTTCTTCTTTTTTTTTCCTTCTCTTGCGCAAAGGAGTAAGGCACAAAAATGCAGGACGATATTCAAACAGATAGGAGCTTTCTTTTTTGGTGTGTATAAAAATGGCAAGTTTATTTTAACAACAATTTGATTGGCATTTGCGCATTGCATTCGTCCCTTTTTCTTTATCTTTTCGTGTCTGTAACGTGGACAAGTGTTTGGAGGTGCTATTCCATAAAACGTACGTTTTTGAAGTTTGTTGGAACCATTCGGTTGGTTGCCTTTTCCTTTGCTTTTTGGTTTTTTAACCCTTATGTATTTTCGGTTTTTTATCTTTTCAGTTTTTTGCTTTTTTCACATATCTGCATTTTTCACGTTCAGCACTTCCCTTTGTTCTTCCTTTTTTTTTTTTGCGCTTTTTTTTTTTTTTTTTTTTGGCGCTCCTTTGACTCACTTTGGGTTAACTCTCATTTAATTTTTTTTTTTTTCAATTCAGGGCTCGATCTTTTTTTTTTTTTTTCCATGAGCCAAAATGCCTTCCTTGTTCACTTATTTATTTTATTCTTTTTAAAAATAGTGACCTACTTCTAATTTTTGTTCAGTTTTTTTTTTTTTTTTTTTTCAAACTATTCTTATTAACATGGCCACACTGCTTTCATGTTCTCCAACCTGTACAAGTTTTTTCCATACGTATTTGGAAAACAGAATTACGTTTAAAATGAAAATACAGGGGAACCAAACGAATCCAAATTGAAAGAAAAGCGAAACCAAGAGAGAAAAGAAAACGAGCAAAAAAAGCGCACAACGACTGCGCATATATAAATCGCACCAGTAGGTAAAAAAAGTAGTCTATGCATGGGTAGGTGTATATATATGTAGCACGAACGGGTAAAAACAGTAGCGCACGAATAGTTATAAGACACATAGATAAAAGGAAGTAGTGAAGGACAAAAAAGAATTTAACCCATGAGGCGTGTGAGCACGCAAAAACTGACTATCACACGTGTTGATGTGTAGTTTTACGTATTTAGCTTTTTTCTTCTTTGTTTTTTTTAAATTCTTTTTTCAAGGTCTTGCTTATTTATTTACACGCAAAAAAAAAAAAAAAAAAAAAGCCAATCCCAGCTTGTCACTCCAGCGTGCGTGTTATAAAATAAATGCTTTTTGTTGTTTTTTTTTTTTTTTTTTTCCCTCCATTTCTGTGCCACTGCTTTGTTTTGCATTCCTCTCTGTGTTATATGTCTGAATAGTCCTATTTAGAGCGCACCTCCTACATTTTTACACCTCAGAAATAATGTCATACGTGTGTGTATAACTACATTCTGCGCATGTGTATGTAGATAAGTGCCCTTCTTCGTGCGTGCGTTTTGCGAAAGCGATCGGACTCCAGGTTGGAGATATTTCTTGTCCATATCCTGAGCTCGCAGATGAGGGTATATTTTTTTCTTTCTATACAAGATTGTAAAGAAAGTGCAGATATTAAGGGAACAGATATATATAAACAAGGCGCTAGCATTCGCCCATATCATCTTACTTCTGTCGCACATATTTACTTAGATGCACACATGCATACTTATGCCTTCGCCAAACGTGCACGTACACCTGGCTGTAGTAGTAGCAGTACACATACCTTCCGTTACAAGTAACCATTTTGTTCACTCCACGAATTAAATGATTCCAATATTACCATATCTATATTTGGGAGACAGGGATGACATAGCTCATGTTGAAAATCTTAAAGAGAATAACATACAAGCGCTGGTAATATGTTGCACTTATTTGGAGTACCCTGAAGATAAAGTCCCAAATGGGTTTGCAAAATTACGAATTAATTTGGAAGACATTGGTATGGAACAAATATCTTCCTACTTTGAGGAATCCAATAATTTTATTCATTCGTATGTTCAGAACGAGCAGGGCGTTCTCATCTCATGCTGGTACTGTTTCGTTTTCAGTTATTATTTTTTTTATTATTTTCTTTTGTCCCTTATGATGCACGTGTGCCTGTGTGTGCATCCATATATAATATCCATTTTGGTGTATATTCTGGATGCAGCTCATTTGAGTATACCCCGTTTCGTATCAATCAATGCGCCAATAGACACTCTCGCCACCCCCTGTTTTTACAGCCAAGGGATCAGCAGATCGCCCACAATATGCATAGCCTATCTGATGGAAAAGCAGGTATTTTTTTCGTGAACAAATTTACAATGATGTTTCTCTCTCCCCTCTGCGGCTTTTAGCCATGTGTTCACAAAGTCCTGAACGTTCAGACAGTTCCACACTGGCACTGTGTCTAACGCAAGGTGTTCATTTCCCCCCTTCTTCTCCCTTTTGTGTCTGTGCCTATGCTTGTGCTTTTTGCCGTGCAGAACTTTTGCCTCATTGAAGCATTCAACTTTATAATGGAGAAGAAGACCATCTGCCCGAACATAGGATTTATTGAGCAACTGTGTGACTATGAAAAACTTTTAAAGAACAAAATTACTCTTTCCTCCAAGAAGTACATAAACTGGTTTACCTCCCAGATGTGTGACAACAGCGTACTGACGGATTTTAGTTTAGAGTGCAAAAAGAACACCATGTAGATTTGCCTTTCTCCAGAGGTCTCTGAGAGTAGTGCCTAATCATTGGCTACCTTATTTTACAGTGAAAGAGAAGCGTAATTTTTTTGCCCCATCCGAGCCAACGGAAGGTTGTTAGGGCGCGTATTGGTGAAGACACACGCGTCCACATATATGCAGACGTGTGTATTAGTTTATCAGCTCGTTCATGCTAAGGTATATGTGAGTTCAGGAGGGAACCCCCATTTTTGATTCATTTGTATAAAAATCACCCTTTTCTTTTTAAATGAACAACAGGATTGTGCGTCTTCCATCTTTGATATGTTCTCGGGGAAGGTGTACAATTATGCGTGTATATATATACAGTTATGCATATGGAAGGCCCAGAAGTATATGTCGTGCCTCCCTGCACCCCTCCTGTTCTTCTTTTTCGCAAATATATACTTTAACCTAATTCGAATATATACATGTGCCGTTATTAAAAATTAAGACATAATGATCATTTTTTTTTTGTTTATCATTCCCATTTTGCGTCCATTAAAGTGTTACTTCTTGGTACATAAGACTTTTGAGCAAATTTAAAAATTGACCATTCTGTTTTTATTGAAGTAAACATGAACGGAGAATTGCATAGGCTTTTTTTCATCTCCCATTATATATGTTTTTTTTTTTTTTTTTTTTTTTTTTTTTTTTTTTTTTTTTTTTTTTTTTTTTTTTTTTTTTTTTTTTTTTTTTTTTTTTTTTTGTATTTTATGCTTTTTCGTTGTGTGTAGTAATCCGTTTAGCATTGTTCTGAAAATAATTCGAAGTTTGCCAGCACTTGTTGAATGTCAGTTTGTCTTTTCATTTTGACACGTGCTTCACTACATACTGCTTAGACTTCACTCCTTCATTTCCTTGCCCGTTTCAAAAATTGACGCATAGCTAAAAATGCGTGCGTCTGTTTGTTCGTACAAATATGCGTATGCATGTGTATACACTTAGCTATGGCTCTGTGCCCCTGAGGGTTTTTGCTCATCCCTTTTTTTTCTATCTTGCCTGAATAGCCAAAATAGTGCTTAAAAAAATAACTATCTTGAAAAAAAAAAAAAAATGCAAAATGGCTAGCCAGTCAGGAAGCTTAGCTGAGCATTATTTTTCAGCCATTTTTTACATAGTTTCAAGTCATTTCGTTGGGGTGTGCGAAGAGGCATTGTGGGTAAACGATTATGTCAGGTACAATTAAGCGCAGCACGGGAAATGCAGACTCGAGGGCGGCGGTAATTCTCACCTTTGGCGATTAATTTCCACAAACGGGGTACAGGATCATAACCACAGCGGAATGTTGTTTATTATACGAATAAAATAAAAGGAAAAGGAAAATGACAGCAAACGCTAAATAAAGTAAATATCGGAATAGAGTCCGTGTATGGAATAGTCGAATATGTGCAAAATAAAGTAAAAAATTACTGTATGAAACAAAAGAAAGGAAAACTTGCTCTCCCTTCCAACTGTTCATGCTTAGACGTTACCCACAATTCGAAAAACGATGAAAGGACGCTACGAATTAGTAGGTATAAGGGAAAAAATCCATGATGGGCCAAACGTTGAGCCCATTCTTTTTAAGAAAATTTCTTTTTATGACACGACCTGGCTGCTCTCATATTCTTAACAAATGGGTTGTGCTCATTTCGCGTATACTTCCTTTTTTTCCCCTCTTTTTTTTTTTATAACCTCCAACGTTTGCTCCCTCCCCCCAACAGATGCGCCGCACAAACGAAGATGGCTGATGTTGTTTTTTTTTTCCTACTGCTGCATGGTAGACAACCTGATATGTTTCACATTCTCGCCAATAAGCACGTTCACGTACAAATTATACGGAATTTCGAATAATATATTTCCTCAGGTTTACCTGGTTATATATTCTATATTTTCAATCCCGCTGTCCTTCTTGTTAAGTGAATGCTCGCTACGAAGCAACGTAGTGTGTAGTTCCCTGCTGCAATTCATGGGGTGTTTGTTAAGGTACATATACTGGGAGAACTTAACGGTTGTTATGCTTGGTCAATTTCTATCATCAATTGGTCAAATAATTTTTGTGAATGCTCCTCCGGAAGTTTCCCTGGTATGGTTTCCAGAAAAGGAACGAATCATATCTACTAGCGTGTCTATAATTTCGAATGCGTTAGGCACAGCAATAATTTATTTGTATGTCCCCTTAGTGGTAATAAATGAGAAAGACATACAAGTGCTACTGAGTCACATTTGTTTGGCTAGCTTTATCGGCTGTGTGATGGTAACATTTTGCTTTGAAAATAAACCCTCTCCCACGATTGGTAGTTCTGTGCTATCCAACGCAGAATCATCATTCGACATGGAATTTCATCCAAATTTTTACAAGCTTGAAGAAGATCAAAAATTTGATACGTGCTACTTATGTATGGACAGTCCAGCAGAAGGGATAAGCGAAAATAAAATCACCATATGTTTGAAAGAGTTAAGACGATTTTTACTGGACCTGAAGGAAGAAATTGAAAATATATTAACAAAGGAGGAAATTATAAAAATTTTAATCATATTTTGTTATTCAGAATGTTTAATTAGTAGTTTTTCGGCAGATATGTCTATCGTTTTGAGAGAAAAAATGATAAGCAAAAATTACTTCTCCCTAGCTGGATCATTATTCATATGTAACACAATACTCGGAAGTGTACTAGTATGCTTGAATGCTAGTAGTGCCCATTTTAAGCTCCTAATTCTTATGTGTGTATGCATGATTATGTTCGTTTGCGTGTTACTATATCTGACTGCACATCCCATTGTGATCATTCTTACTTTAAGTTTAATCGGCTTTTGGTCTGGTCCGTTACAGCCAATATGTGTTGAAATGGCGTCCATAAGAATTTATCCCATCAATTCCAATTTATGTACTGCTCTTCTTCAAGTAATTTCTTTTTCCGTTAGCGCAATTTTTATATCATTTTTTTCGTACATATCTACCTATGTCACTACCCCCCTCGTGATCTTTTTCCTCTCCGTCCTCATGCTGCTAATCGGTCTAAAGTTAAAACCGATTAGTAGTAAGGACAGTAAGAGGCGGGAACCCGCTACTACGAATAATATTTCCTTCTCATATAGAAGTGGGCTCATAAATAGGAACACATTAATCAGGACGAATAAATTTGCCGACTTATCTGTGGACTTATTTGATGACTTGTTCCATGAGCGGGACCTCGATGACCCCTTGTTTCGGGCAACCCCAGGAGATGCTGTCCTAGAAAGGGGAAGCAGCAGAGATTCCGAGAACATAGTCCAGGAGGGACCTGTGGAGTCAGAAAATATCCCCAGCTGTATAATGCGCAAAAGGAGCGAACATCCAGGACCAGAACACCACCACAAAATCGAACTGGACAAGAAACTCAATTTGGATAACCTAAAAAAGGATCTTTTCTTTTATAACCAAAAAGTCGAATCGTCGAGAAGGGGGTCTAAATCGTTTTCCAAGAACTACTGCGATGAATGTAGTGACAATTTTGACGAAGAGAAAATGCACTTGCCAATGTACAACACGTGCTAGGCATTTTCCCAAGAAGGAATTTTGTTCCTTTCGTAATTCATTTCCACCTGGGGCCATTGCCTGGGGACGGGGAAACCGACTCTTTGTTGGTAATTTCACGGGTCTACTAATTTTATGTGTGTATCTTCGGACAATAACTTATTTTTCAAAAACTGCGAATATAATGCAATTAAAATGCTTACTTGTTTTAAAATTTGAAATTTTAAAATTTATCATTATGATTATTATCCTTTTTTTTTTTTTTTTTGTATTTTTTTTTCTTTTTGGGACACGATAGAACACACAGTGCTGTCCCATTCCACCATTTTAAACATTTCGAACGTCTTCCAAATATGCGTGAACGTTTCGTCAAATTTTGTTTTGCAAAAGTGAACACTTCGCTTGTATACCTAGAGAATAATGGGTTGCCCTTTTTTGTTTATTCCACTTGCTAGAAAGGACGAAAAGTAAAAAAACAAAAAAAAAGGTGGGGTGACGCGGTACGCGCTGTGCATGACTCTTCCCGTTTTAGTTTTACTTAGTTCCACTTGATAGTAGATCCTTTTTATGTTTTGACGTGGACTACAAATGTCATGATGTTGCGTGATGCGCTACTAAAATGTTCATATCATTTTTGGCTCTTTTTTTTGTGTGTGTTTCTTCTTTTTTTCTCGCTTTACCGTTTAGATGTGTTACAAAATTGTTCACACATAGGGCAGACACACGTAATATGCGACAAACGGATTCGATACCTTTTTGCACCCTTTTCGCGTAACATCATAAGAGGTGTGCACTTTCTGTTTGAAAGAAAAAGGTTCGAAATGGCTGCCTTACGCAACTAACCCTTTCCCGTTTTGTCATTCACATGGAGTAGATGCAGAGGAGGGCAAACAAATACTGCACTTATGAATAATCGCTAAGGAAAAGCCATCTGACGAATCCTCCTCTTCAGCTATCACAAGGTGCAAAGAGATTCTACCCCCCATAGAGGGTATATATATATGTGTGCGTGTGTACTACAGACATTTCACAAAATATGCACATGTTTGGGGCACCGCCTTCCGTGCAGTTTGGCCTAAGTCCTCCCAAAATTTCTACATTAAAAAAAAAAAAAAAAAGCAGTTCACTTATGCGCGGAAGTAATTTCTCATTTTTTCCTTCGCAACTACTTTAGCTCTACAATTGGCGTGTTTGCGCGAGCGAAGAAAATCTAAAATGCGTACCCTGCGCTGAGGTTGCATGTGGTATGTTTCGTGTGCCTATTTATACATAGCTATACATATATATGCATAAATATGAATACATGTGCCGTTCCACGTACACATATTTTGGGCTGTCTCTAGACCAGAAGCACTCCCGTGAACTTCCGAGGTAAAGACGCTTCGCCTAGGAGGCATAGACTTAGGTTCGCAAGGGGAAAGCATAACCGTTTATTTCTTTTTCTTACCCTTTTTTTTCTTTTTTTTTTTTTTTCTAAACTGTAAAAGTTCTATTTCTAAAATTGTCTAGCCATTTGGCAAAAAAAAAAAAAAGAAGTCTTACATTTTTAATGTGCTACTCGAAGGAGATATGACCAATTTGTGAGGCATTTATTTTTTGCCCTTTCTTGCCTATCATGTGAACATGTATAGTTATGTGCATGTACATGTGCATAGCTCTTCGGTGACTAGACAACAAAATAGGTTTGCCTACCCAAGTCAACTACAAACATGCGTAAATTTAATTTGATAAGTACAAAGGAGGTGTCCGAAATTGTGAGTTGGTACACCCATGTCTGTGCTGGGACCATGCAGGGATATCGCGCAACCGAGGAGGATGTAAGGCTTGTTTCCATGGGGACAGATTGTGCCCTCGACTTCTTATCATTCTAGAAGGGTGTCACACTGCTGTAGTGGACGAGGCTACAGTGCTACGTCGTTGTGGCGTCTCATTTATTATTATTTTTTCTTTTTTCCCTCGCTGTGAAAGAACAACATAAAATGCGAGCACTCGCGCAAATAAACATTTGTTGTTGACATGTTGTTTGCTTCGTATAAAGCGATATTATAATTTATTTAACTTTTGCCCATTTTTTGATGAAAGCGCCTTTCGCTTTACCGTGTCTAAGGCACACTAAGAGTTGCACCGCGGATACACGCAGATGTACGTATGCCCTCACACGCCCCCACTCATTGGCGTAACATTTCTTGCCCTCTCCGCTTCCAGGCAACGGTCATCTTGGCGTCTCTCAAAAATTTCCCCTCCTGCAGGTAGGATGAAGCGTCCCTGGAAATGGATAATAAATAGGCATTGTCCCCCCAGGAGTGTTATAACCTGGATGCGTCAATTTCTTTTTCGCGGGAGTGGTGCTAGAGCTTCACGTCCGCACATCTACACATTTGCGCATTTTCCCGTTTCACTTTTCTTCCCGCTAATTTAAGGCTGTGCACAATATTCGATGGGTAAACAATGCCACGAGGGACAAGAGAAACAATCCAGCTCCTTCCACAAATGAGAAGTCAAGCGCATAGAGCACATGTTCAGCGAGTGCTCCTATTTTTCTTCCTCCTCACATTCGCTGGATGAGCACCAAATGCACATTTTCTACTTTTCACAATTTAGCCATATAGGAAAAGAGACAGCTTTATACTGCGCTCGAAATATAGCGGATTTTATAGGTACCTTTGCAAGGAGCGAATTTTTTAAAAATTATTTTTGACCATAAAATATTTTCTCGTGTTGCCACTTATGGCCAATTCCAATTTGAAAATGCCTGCAACTGCGTAGAACGATTTTTTCTTTTTTTTTTTTTTCTTTCCCATCAGGAAACTGCGCAACGTTGGACGCACGTAGCATAACAGATGCCTGCATCCAGATGGACAACGAAATCTTAAGTGAGTAAAAAAATTATCGACTCCAAAATTGGGTTTAAGCAAAGTGGTGTACACACGAGCACAAATTTGTGTTTGCGTTCTTCATCACTCGAAGGAACCGAACTTTTGTCATGAATATGCACAACGCACGGTGTTGTCTACTTGTCTATGTTTATACACACGCATGATTGTGCATAAGCGTTGTGTCCCATCGGCATGAGGAGTAAATCCGATTTAATTGGCCTGTTCAAAATGTTGCGCATTTTTACTCACCCCATTTTGTAGACAGCAATTTTGCCAATAGTGGATCCACAGGTAAGAATAATTAGAAGGCCTTTTTTTTTTTTTTTTTATTTCAAAATAGGGGAACATAAAAATCTACCTGCATATAGGAGCCTCCTTGAAATGTGTCGCATGAAGGGATTAGCACAAAATTGACATTCTTCATGAAGTGCATATATATATGCCCACATCGTCTTTTTCAGCCATCATTGCCATCATTGAAAAGGTTATGAATCAGGATGTTTTCAAGCTTTACATTTGCAACTTAGGTAGCCCCGTGAAATTTTTTAGCTTATAATATGTGCGTCCGTTTTTACACTTTTCGCTGTTACGTCAAATAGTCGCCGCGTCGTTGGGAAATGATCGTCCATACGCCCTTTGCCCTTTTGTGTCTTCTCGCTAACGTTAAAATGATCGTCAATAGTTAGTACCTGTCAATTATTACCCATCACTTATTACCTACCAATGCTTACCCTTCCTTTGCGTTTACACCACTCTAGGTGACTCTCGGGCAATGCTAATCAAGAAGGATGGGTCGTTCATCTCCCTCAGCGAAGATCACAAACCATACAACAAAAAGGAAAAGGAGAGAATCGACAAAATCGGAGGGTTCGTGGAAAATGGCAGGATACTCGGCTACATTGGCGTATCCAGATCGTTTGGGGATAAAGTAAGCAGCAGCTTCTGAATATGTCACCCCATTTGAAAAATGCAGAAATATGGAATAGTAGCGATCGTTTCTTGGGTACACGTTTTTCCCTTTTAATTTAAAAAAAAAAAAAAGGGGATAGACATGCGCGCATCCACAGCGCTAGCAAAAAAATAAGATTAATTCCCTTTTTTTTCTATGAACCCAACACCCCCTGTGTAGAACTACAAAGGAAGGACCAGCGTTCCTTATGACCCCCACGAGACGATGATCACGTGCATACCAGACATAAAAATTTTTTACGCAAATTGCGACGACATCTTAGTGTTAGGGTGTGATGGAATATTCGAAATGCTTTCGTGGAGTGAGGTCGCCAAATTCAGCTACGAGTGTGTCAATAGGTACTCACTAAGCGATGCAGTGATTAACATTTTAGATTATGCGTTGTTGTCTGGCTCCAGAGACAACATAACGATCCAAGTAGTTAAATTTTTTAACGAGCAAGTGGAGAGTTTCCATTTTCGAGAAAAATTGGTACCCAGCATTTATATACATAATGAAAAGGTAACCAAGTATGAATTCTATGGAAGGTTCCTAAATAAGTATCACATAAATGATAGGAATATTATTAACAACTTGATGGAATACTGCACGGAAATAAAAGAAAATGTATTTTCCATTGGACCATTCTTAAAAAGAATGCGAGAAAATAAAAATACACATATTATATTAAATAGGAGGAATAAGAAAGACATAAAATATTTGACCTTGCCAATTCTACAAGAGGATCTCAAAACGAACAATTCTTTTAATGCCATGGATCAAAACGACTTCAACCGTATGAGGGAGTTTTTTAGAGAATACGACAAAAAGGTAAAGATGGTGAATTGTTCAAATGGGGGGAATAGAATTACGCGGTGAATTAGGGGAAAATTACCAATATTTTTTGTTATGTATTCTCAAATGTTTTTGTACATATGGGTCCACAAGCCACACGGGGGAAGGACATTGTGTATATGAAACATGCACATTATTGTATGTAGGCTAAAATGTGCTTGAAAAAAAAGAGGGGAACATTCATGTTTCATCATTTTTCGAGAAAATATTTGTTTTTAAAGATGTTATCAAAGGTAAATGCCCATTTGTGCTGCAATTCTTTTATTCTTTCAAGTGTTTAGAGGAACGAATGCGTAAAAGGCACGCTTTCGTCACTTCTAACTTTTAAGACGAACATCTGAAGATTCACGTGCACATACATACTACTTCTTTACCAGCATGCCGCGATTTTTTTTAATTGGAAAAATTAATTAACCATATGTAGTGATACATTCCGAAGGCCACTGTGCTACTGTGCAGAATGTGGACACTATTGTATTCACGCCATATATATGTGTGACGGTGCGATCGCAAGTGTTTCATTTGAAAAAATCTGAAGAGCTTGCAAAAAGGAGGGGGGGGAAAAAAAAGAGAGCTTCGTTTTTTTAATTTGTTTCCCTTTTATGTGTCGCTAACATGGGGGCAAGCGGGGGATTAAATGGCCCCTTTTTGTTTTACTCCTTATTTTTTTTTATTTTGTCATTTTTGCTTCTTTATACGTATTACATGTCCCTAACAATCCTGTCTGAGTTCTGTTCATCCTTCGAACGTGTGATTACTACCAAACAGGTAGCCATACGACATGGTAAATTTTCAGAAAGTTGCAAAGTTCATTAGCTAGCCAGAAGAAACAAAAAAATAGCTATGTATATATTTAAGTATGCGAACGCTGCGCTCGCCAAATTAGCAAGTTAGATTTGTAATTTATATAATCTTTAGCTACAGGGCTCAGTTATCCATATGTGTATTTCGTGAGAGCTCTGCACGAAGATTCTAACCAAGTCGTGTTGTCCATTTACCACTTTGGACAGTTCGCGCGAACAGTCAGTAGTTCTTGCGCTTCATGTGCGTATGTACATATTTGTGCACAAAAATGTGCACACTTTTTATGCACTTTTCGCATGAACATTTTTTTTTTTTTTTTTTTTTTTTTGTAAAAAATAGCTAGCTACTTCGCGCGGGGATGTCGTAAATTAATAAGACCAAAAATTGTATTTTCTTCTTCATATTACCTATTTTTTTTTTTTTTTTTTTTTTTTTATGTTGTATACGAATGTATTATTATAAAACAATTTCGATTTAAATTTATAAATTTTGTTCATTTCTCCAATTTGCTTCTGTTCAATTTAAAACCATTCACAAATTGGGAATACTTTGCTTCAGAATATAACCGCCTTGTTAAAACTTCCTCCCTTTGTCTGCACACACGAACGTTGATTTTGCACATGTGCACATACTAACGTGGAAATAAACAAATTTAAGAAAACACTTTTCCCCAGTAATCCACATTCACCATGCAACCCTTTCAGTTCTTTCCACAAGTAGATAACAAAGTGAACGTTGTTTCAATGCAGCCCTTTCAAATGTATGTCCCCAACCATAATGTGATGGTTCCACAAGCATGCCCAGAAAACATACAGCAGTATCACCATCAGCCAATCTTTTTCGAGCCCCTACCCCCAATATATGTGAAAAACCAGTTGTTGCCATCTCCTATTCTGGTACAAATGCCCACAACCGTGGTTGTTCAGAATGAGTCCCAACCGGCAATGGTTCTTAGTCAGCCACCCTCAAACATCGTAGTCAAGAATAATCCACCGACATCCGTTTTTGTGAAGCAGTCCAATCCTAATGTAGTGGTGAAGAATGAAGCGGCGCCAAATTATGTTCAGAGTGTAGAGGCGTGTCAAGAGGGAGTGCTGGCAGATATGACCCGCCCTATGATGACCACCTTGAACAAAAATATATTATAAATGCAGCAAGGTGTGGAGAAATGTACGTAGATCAGATGCGGTGAAGCATGTTTCTATTGCATGTATATGTGGAGGGGACGGGCTGAATCTACAGAATTAACCCACGCTGGTGCCATGTAGAGCTAATTAATATTAGCGCTGGAGTAGTGTCCAGTGTGGGGTACTCTACTGGATATGATGCCTCCATCTGATGTATTGAATAAGTATATAAAGAAGCTACCACGTGAGCGTGCACGGGTGTCAACGTGGGGGTATGCGTTTATATAGACCTGCAACAGACCCCCATGCGTATATTTTTCCCCTTCCTCCGATCTCACAAATAGCCTGTTTGATGATGAAGACGGCACTGAGAACACTTTCATATTAGCTTAAAGATCCATGTATAGCAAAAGTGAATAAATGAGCCTGCTACAGAACAGGGTTAAACATGTTTATGTGTCGATTTTGTCTTCATGGCTTGGCCACGATCTAGACATATGTCCCTAAACCTTGATCGCATATCTTTTTGTGCAGCTGTGAAAACATAATTTTGCATAAATGTAATTTTGTATGTACAGTTTTTCATTTTTTTTTTTTTTTTTTTTAATGGAAAACTGCCAATTTTGTTCTATTAAAAGGAGAATTGTTTAAAAGATGTCCACAAATGTGCGTGTGCTTCGTAGATGGTACGAAACGCAACATTCCCCATATGTTGCATCTTATTAGTGGAGGGATATTCCACAAGGGTTTCAATTAAAAAGTAAAACTATTCCTTCTTAAGCGAAAGTTGTATGTGATGAAAACAATTTTAAAAGTTTTTTTTTTTTTTTTTTATACATGAACCACAAAAATGGGACAAATGATAAAGGGATAGAACAAACACAACTAAAATGTTTATAAGGAGAAGTGAAGAAAAAAAAAAAAAAACAAAAAACAACAAAAAAATTCCTCACTGGGTACATTCAAATGAGTTAAGTTCTCACTACAAATGTGACAATAAAAGATTGGCGCGTATTTCTTCCCTGTATTGATCTACCATGAAATAATTTTTTCGCTTTCCCTGTATACGCCCCTCTTTTAGACATTTTTCCGCGTGTGTGTTGAAGAGGCTATCTGTTCAGATATTAGACTAAGTGGTTAGGGACAACATGTTCGATTATGTGTGATCAGGGAAAAGGGGCCTGCACATGTGTATGCGCATATGGAGTGTATTTATATGTGTCAGCATTTCTCGCGCATAAACATGTAGAAGTGGCAGGTGTACATTATAGTTGTGTCCCTCTTATTTGTGTTTGACTGTGCTGGCATAGTTGTGGAGGCTAACACATATTATGTTCCTTTTTTTTTTTTTTTCCTTCACCCCCCATTTTGGACTTTTAATATTTTGAAGGAGTGCTTTTCGTGTTGTCCTCCCTTTTATTCGAATATAGGGTCACATTGTAAGGCGAATAAGTGCCATCATTGTTCAGAGGGACACTGGTCATATATATGTTGTTCATAGGCTGAGATTTATTTTGAGTCGTTATGTACTGATTAGAGTAAATATAGGCAGGGTCTGTAAGCTCGTTCATTTCGGGGGTAGTAACTCCAAGGAGGGGTTCATTTGTGCCTTGGGGAATTACCGTATTAAGGTTGGTCATAGAGGTGAGTTCTTTCATTCGATGATTGAGGCTTAGGGCATAATTGGAGTTATCCGAAAATTCGTTCCCTGACTGTTGCATAATGATGTTTGGATTTTGTTGTCTAACTATGATAGGCTGTGGTTCATCATTTTTCAGGATGATATTTTGTGGGGGCAGATCTAGTGTAATTGGTGGGTTCGGTTGCGTGTGAATTATGACCGTGGGTGGTTGCCTCACAATGATAGGTTGTATACTGTTGTGTTGCACCATGACGTAGTATACGAGCTGGTCCATTTTGAGGGGTAAAGATTAAGGATATGGAGAAGGGCTTGAGATACCTGAGGAGTCTACAGTGTATGTTCGCAGGCAGACGCGCCAATAGAAACACAGGTGAAAGACCCGGAATGGAAATACAATTTAGGGAGCAACTCGAACAGACAATATTTATGGAAGAACACAGTACCTCACAAATACAAATGGGATGAATATTTTTTTTTTTTTTCTTAAGTCCGCTTCAAGGGTGAAGACTGTTCCATAAAGATAAACGAGTGAAGAAAAGCGCACAACACATGGGTGGGGTTTTACTTATTTTGCGAATACGTGTAGGCCGGATGAACAAGTTTGGAAGTCACAGTTGTAGTACATTTCTTCGCTTATCATTACTCAATTATCCGTTCCACTTGAGCTACTTTTTGTTTCGTTGAAGGGAATTCCTGTGTTTTTTACAGCCCCCAAGGAGCTGTGTCCGCCGAGTTGCGTCCACCTCGTGTATGTACAACGAGGGATGGAGGCCCTTCAAGCCTTGGGAACTGTTCACCGCTCTTTAGCGCCATGATGTCGGCACGTTTGTGCTTCCCAGCGTTGGAAAATATTAACAGTGAATATGTTCGTTTTTCCGCCCAGCATATTGTCATGCGGTGAGAGGTCCACTGAGGGCGCGCTGTTCATGCGTCTAACATTTGCTCCTACCCGTGTGTGTCCATTTTTAAACACGTGGAAGAAACGTGCGCTTTACCAGCACTTGGAATTTTACCCCCCGCCATGTACATATGCCGCATTTCCCACTTATGGAAGAATATAATTTGTCATTAATTTAATTTTTTTTTTTTGTTGAATAAATTTCTTGGAGTTATAATGTATGTAAAATGGAAAAATAGATAAATGTGCGTTTCGAAAAATGCGGTGAGGGAATAACATGACATGTAAGAGGAAGCGTGCATCGATTATTTGCTTCATCCGGATGATTAACAATGTGTACAAGTTTGGTTAAAACAGTTTAACCGCCACGCCCATGGGGCTAAAACGCATAGGCGAGGAAGAGATTCACTCCCATATGGTGTGGAAGTCTCCATCGCGGTCTACCCTCTTGTAGGTATGTGAACCAAAGTAGTCCCTCTGGGCCTGCACCAAATTGAGTGGCAAATTTTTAGAGGTCACCATTTGGAAGTAAGCCAAGCTAGCGGAAAACGCAGGAATGGGGATGGACGCCTTGGTAGCTACCTGAACAACTTTCCTCAAGGAAGGAAGTTTATTTTTCATTTCTTGAGCAAAATCTTCATCCAGGAATAACAAGTCTAAGTTTTCATTTTTTTTATAAGCATTAGTAATTCGATCTAAGAAAACAGCTCTAATTATACAACCTCCTCTCCAAATCCTTGAAATTTCTCCAAGGTTCAAATTCCATTTCATTTCTTCTGATACTTGCTTTAGTAAAAATAATCCTTGTGTGTAAGATATGATTTTGCAACAGTAGAGAGCATTTAACAGATCGTCCTCAAAATGGATCAAATCCTCACCCGCTACTTTGCACACTTTCATTTCATTGGAGAAATGGCTATCTGCTTTGATTCTCAACTGTTTGTATGCACTTATATTTCTTGCATCTAATGCTGCACACATGGTTGGGCATGGAATTCCCCTCTCGATAGCTTCTAACATGGTCCATTTTCCAGTTCCTTTCGCACCAGCAATATCTAATATCATATCTACCAGGTGGTTATCCGTTAAATCATCTTTCTTTGCTAAAATTTTGTATGTTATTTCGATCAGATAAGAATTTAAAATTCCCTCATTCCATTTTTTAAAAACCTCGGACAATTTCTCATTGCTATAATTCAGAACATGCTTCATTAGTAGGTAGCTCTCTGATATTAATTGCATGTCTCCATATTCGATTCCGTTATGTACCATCTTCACATAGTTGCCTGATGACCTGGGTCCTATGTAAGTAACACACGGTGATGTGCCTACCTTAGCTGAGCATTTTTCTAGAATGTCCTTAATGTTCTCATATGCATATTTGGATCCTCCTGGCATGAAAGAGCATCCGTATCGTGCCCCTGCTTCTCCTCCACTAACTCCCATGGCCAGATACTCTACATGCTGTTCCTCACAAATTGAGATTCTCCTTTCTGTGTTCAAATACCATTCATTTCCTCCGTCAATAATAATATCTCCTTTTTCAAAATGTTTTAAAATATTTTTGATCGTTTCGTCTACGGCTGGTCCGGCTTTTATCAGTAGAATAATTTTTCTGGGTTTCTTTAAGTTCTTTATTAACTGCTCTAAGGTTTCATATCCGTAAATGGGTAGGTTGCTTTGCTTTGCCTTCTTTATTGTGTCCTCCGTCCTCTCGTAAGTTCTGTTGTACACTCCTATGGTAAATCCGTTGCTCGCTATGTTCAGGCTAAGGTTTTGTCCCATCACCGCCAGCCCGATTAGTCCTATGTCACACGTGCCCGTCATTTTGTTCGAACAGAGGTGGAGGAGTGGTAGATACGGAAGTGGGGGCAAGGATACGCACGGCGGTAGTTGCTGCAAGAGGGGTGGCCGGTACACGGAAAAATATACAGTTTACAATTTATATGATGTGCACGTTTGGAGCTTGGGACAACTTCCTCTGATAAGGGAAGCACAAGGAGTGATTCCTTTTTTTGTTTTTTTTTCTTTTTGGCGCCCACTCGGAATAGACTTCTTAACACCGATATGGGGGGAGGAACTCCTATATGAGGCTGTTTTCGTGTGTATAAATGTTCACTCTTTTATATCCCCTTCGGTGGGGCAGGAAAAAAGCTGTCCTGCTCCTCCTACCCCTTCGCGGAAAGCTTATGCGGGGATGCGCCTACACAGTCATACAAGTACGCATATATATGGACGCACGTACCTGTTCTCTTTTTTGTGCTTACCGTTACGAGTGTTTGCTTTTTCTCTGCTGCCTCGGGTTGGATAACTCTCCAGGCGTTATGACGCTGATATAAATATTTGCCTCTTTTGTTTGTTTACTAAACGCAATATTTAACAATTATAGAGTTTCCTTCGTTCTTTTTTTTTTTTTTTTAATATTTTTAATATTTTTATTTTTTTAATTTTGCATTCGTTTTTTTTAGCATGAGAGAGAAT